TCCCCTCCCACCCTGCCACCCTTCCAAGTCTCCAGGGTCAATTATTCCTCTTGCTATGTCCATGTGTACACATTATTTGGCTCCCCCTTTGCAGTGAGAACATGTTTTATTTGAATTTCTATTTCTTAATTATTTCTCTTAAGACAGTGACCGCCAGATCATCCAGGTGGCTGCAAAATATATGATTTTATTCTTTTTTCTTTTAATGGCTGAGTAGTATTCCATGGTGTGTGTGTATATAATATGAAATTCTTTTTTATTCAATCATTCATTGATGGGTATTTAGGGTGATTCCATATTTTTGCCATTGTGAATAGTGTTGAAAGCAACTTTTCAATGTGTGAATTATTGCTATGTGTTTTGTTACCTATTTCACTGACATGAATATTCTTTCTGTTTATCTACATACACTTTAATAAGGGTAAATTTGGTGATAAAGGATCAATTAAAATGAATAGCAACATTTGGATCACTTCCTTTGAAAAGGATGGACAATGAGTTCCTCAGACAGATCCCATCTTCCAATACAGTGACAATTTACATGAACATTAATTAAAATTCAATGAAATTCACAATTAAGCTGGTCAGTTGTGGTCGGGTAGGCAGGTTAGATGAGGAAAACGTTGGGGCTGTAGAAGAGTTCCAAGTTCATTGATGTCTGTAGCAGCCGGTGCAACCCACGTATGCAAGCAAGATGACCTAGCTATGGGAAACTTCACACCTGCCTAACTTTTAGACTCATGAGAAACATGTGCAACACTGTAGTCTATCTAGATGCTTGCTGTCGGGAGCCAACCATCAAGGTGGAAACTAACTTAGAGACCACCTAGAGCATGTGCATTAAGAGCCAAGGTTAACCTGAGATAATCATGACCTACTTTTATCTTCATTATAAAACTATTAACATAAAAGGACCCTAGAGGAACCTCCCACTCCCATCATACACTTGATGCCATGACAGTACCGGTATGACCCTATAAGGCCTAAAACTTTTCCTCCTTATGTGAGAGAGGAGAGACAGTAACCCAGCCCCAGACCATCCATTTCTGGGAAAAGACTACCCCAAAACACATTCCTCAGCACCCCTAGGAATAAAAGTTATGACTCAACAACAGTTTGGTGCAGAAGCAGCAGCTTTCTGTAGGCTGTTTCTGCCCTCTCTCCTCTCTTGAGAATGTACTGTTCTTTGCTTAATAAAACTCCTTGCCTATTCTGCTTTTCTGTGCATCTGTTTATGAATTATTTCTGTATGTGAACACAGGCACCCAGTCTTCCACTTGCCCATTCCCCACAGTCAGGACCACCCCTCCTCCTAGGAACAGTTAACTAGCTACTTCTTAATTGCTTGATAGTTACATGTGACCAGTGGTTACCATATTGGACAGCACAGATATTAGATATTTCTGTTATCATCACAGAAATTTCCATTGAACAGCATTACTCTAAACTGTCTGAATTTAAACAAAAAATAAGATATGTAAATAACAATCACTTACACAGATACGTCAATATTTTTAGAAACATTAATAACTGGAAGAATTTCACTACTAAAAAAGTAGTAGAAAATTGAGAAGACTAGAACCTCAATTTGTTTTGCAAAAATCTGTCAGAAGAGATGAATGGCTATTTCAAGACTAAAGAATTATTTTAGTTTTAATGGAGCAGAATAAAAAGAGAAATACAGCAGGTAATTTCCAAGGTTTATTACAAAAGCCTTGAAAAAGTGACTTTGAATATATATTTTATCGTTAGCATTTTACATGTTGATGACTTAGAAGATTAAAATTAAAATTATGACTTAGAGGATAAAAGTGAAAAGCAGGCAATTGTCATATAAAAATCCCAAGTAATATAAATTTAATAAACATTACTCATTCACCTGTACTATTTGAAGCATTCTTTGATCCAGAGTTTTTCAGAAGGAAAAAAATTTTATATATATATGTGTATATATACACACTCTACATAAATTCCACTCCTCACTCTACAATTTACTGGTTTTAAAATATCTAAGGGAAACCGTCTTTTTGTTGTTGTTGTTGTTAGTTAAGGTCTCACTCTGTTGTCCACGCTGGAATACAACGGCATGATTATGCCTCACTGCAGCCTCAAACTCCTGGGCTGAAGGGATTCACCTTCCTCAGCCTCCTGAGTGGCTGGGGCTACAGTCATGTTTCACCAGGCCTGGCTAATTTTTAAACTCTTCTGTAGAGACAAGATCTCACTATGTTGCCCAGGCTGGTCTCCAACTCCTGAGCTCAAGTGATTCTCCCACCATGGCCTCCCAAAATACTAGGAATACAGGTATAAGCCACTGTGCCTGGTCTACACTATCTAAAGGAAATACAATTAGTCAAAATCATTTAAGCTGACTGATTTATTTTTATCTCTTCACCCAAATTTGGCAAATTATGAATTTACCATGTTTGACATTTAATTTCATACAAGCCAAGCCTTCTTAGAATCATTGAAACAACGAACCATTAGAGTATATCTCAAAGAAAATGTGAATGACATGCACCAACATGCACTCTGAAGTGCTATGCTGCATTTGATACTAACATGTAAGTGAGGAAATGGAGTAAACAAATAGTGGTGGTGAGAGCAATTGTACAAAACCTGGAAACCTGGAAACCTGGGAATAGATTATCCATCAGGCATGGAAAGGAAGCCTGGAGAAAACTACAGTGAATTTCTGTGCTGCCCTGGACCTGCGGTTGAGGATAAGGGGCAGAAACTAATCCCACAGGCATTGCTAGTCCTGAGTGCTGGGATGGAGTTATCAATTTACATAGTTTACTAAATTTTAAAAATGCAGGATTTTAGATAACTGCATTTTAAAGATTGATTATAAATGTAATTTTGAAAATCTACTGACTATGACAGAACTATAAATAAATAGTGTCTCAATATGAAACTCTTGTGGTTAGGTAAGATGTTTAGCTATTATGTGAAACCATCACAGCCACTCATAAAATGGTGTAAACTCTGACATTGTTCAATTATCCACTTTATTCAGACTCATGAATTTGTCTTCTTGAAATAAAATAAATCTTACCAGCAAAACAACAGTATCAAAGTGCTCTTTGGCTGTGTAGGTTTTGCCAATCTTATATCGTCTCTCCAAGTTAACTGGATTAATTATTAAAATAGTTTATTATTGCCCTAACAGAGATAGAAATTTGGGGCACTGGAAGAATGAAAAGAATCCCATAAGGAAAGAATATTCTTTCTTTCAAAAATAGTGATACACAGGAGTTAGAGTGCATGCACAATGTACAGATAAAATGAAATTAGTATTAACTGTTATGTTCAAGCTTAGTGTAATTTTCCCACCTCATGTTTTTGAGTTTATCTCTTGATATTTTCAACATACTTGGATATGCAAATTTGAGGTTATTTTAAAATTTAAGTCACATCTTCATAGCAACAATGATTTTACTCCAGAAATATTTTTCTAGGCATTCAAAATAAAGAGATCTTTGAAAACATCTGCATGAAGATCAAAGAAAACACAGATGAGAAGTAAGGTGTGATGAGTGGGATTAATTATCTCATGTGACTTCCATGAGTTTGCCACTTTCATTTTTGCCTCTCTACACGAAGCCCTCCGCAAGGCAGCATTCTCAGAACATAAATCATTCCCTAAATCTTCCTTTTTTTGGCCTCTTTTAATCTAATTTTTTTGCATTCAGCCAAGTGCACTAAAGTTTAATCACAGGCCAGAAATATGTGGAGTAAATTCCTCAAGACTGATACTAATCATATTAGGATATCAATTGGGCATACCAAAATGAATTGAAAGTGAAAAAGAGATTGAAATCTCAATTTACATATATTTAGAAACCCATACCCAGCCCATCATTAGCAAGGAGATTACTTTCCTCTCCCCACACCCATCTCCCATTCTAAATTACATACTTAAACTAAATGGAATAAAAACGGGCTGAGCCATATGTAAATGATCCTGAGGACCAGTCTGTTATGTCACAGAGTATAGCTTCTCAAACTTTAATGTGCACATGAATCATTTGAGAATCTGGTTAAAAGGCAGATTCTGATTCAGTAGGACTGATGTGGGGTCCAAGGTTCTGCATTTCTAGTAAGCCTCCAGGTGATGCTGATCTTCTGATTCACAGACAAAGTTTTAAGGCAGGGTGACATTTGCTTTCCAAAATTGTGAAATGCACTATTCCATAGACTACCTCACATTGCTCATGTGAACTGGCAACTTGATAGTTTGCCATATATATTCCAAAGAATATCCTAAATTGTGCTAATTATTATCTTTAACAAGCATAATAAATACTGTAATAGGCATTACTTGGTTAAAATGGAAAAATCCAGAATTCACCCAATCAGAATGATAAATAATATCTGTACTTTTCCAATAAATTAACTCTATTTTGCACATATGTCATTGTTGAAAATTATATTAATAGTGTGATTTCTAACATATGAGCTATTAATTTTTTAATGACATTTGTAAAACATTAATCAAGTTTATGAGGTTTCCTCCTAAAATATGACACTCTCGTGTCACTTTTTATTCCAAATTCATTATGCACATTTAGTTTAATTGTCTGAAAAAGAGATGCTTAAGGCATTTTATTTTGCTACTGATAGTTACTCATATTTCATTCTTTTATTATCCACAGACAGAAAGACAAACACGTTTTCCTTTTTTTTCCTTACAAAAGGAAAAGTCAGATGATGGTCAGATGCATTGTTTTAAACATCTAATATTGAAGATACTTGTTGTACTGGTTTATAGTCAATTAAAATATATATTATTTTGTTTTTAACATCTAAAGTCAAATATAGTAGGGCTAGAAGCATTTACATGTGCCTCTCTTTTTCCTAAATTGTTTTTCCTAAATATATGTTGTCATTATTTTCCTTACTAATTTTTAAACAAACCCCTCATATATTTTATTTATTAACCACTCATGTTGTACAAGGTATGACCTCAAGAAACCATATCAAAATGTAATGCTAACCTTCAAAGATATGACTGTGGCCACTTTCAGGTGACATCTTGTCAAAAGATGTTTCCTCGCCTTTCTTGTCTGAATCTTTCACAGAATCCTCCAACTGGTTCCCAGGGTGACTCTTAAATGTTGGCGAACACAAACTTCGCTCAATTTCCACTTCCTGTTAGAAGACATTAAAGGGATGTGTGTTAAAAGCTATCAGTGGGAAACAGATGTGGTTTTCAGGGGTTTTAGAAGGCAGGAGTGGAGAGGGAGGGGATTTCTATCATGAGTGATGTTTTCCAATATGCTTCGGGTAAAATTTTGATAACTTTGCCAAGAATTGCAAACATATATCTGACGCTTAGTTTACTTTTCTGCCACTGGTTCTACTTCTGAATTAGCTTTTCTTTCATGTGTGTGTGTGTTTTCCCTCATAAAAAGAGAGAGTGGAAATAAGGGTCACAATACAACATAATATATGTTAATAGATGCAACTTCCTAGGCCTGAGAAATGTCGATGAGGGACTTTCCAAAAATAGCAGTATATCAACATTATGTGCTAAAGACAGAAGGAAATGAGTTTTTAAAAATGTTATGCTCACCCTATAATGATAATCTTGGCAATTATAGAGTTCCCAAATTACAAACCCATTCAGCCACCATACAGTGAGTACAGTTCGTCAATTCATAAAGATTATGAAATTACTTCTTTAAACAGTGATTCAAAAGTGAAGAGATAAAGATTTCCAAAGAAAGGAAGCACAAAACTTATTTTTTATTTTATTTATTTATTTATTTTGAGTTGGAGTTTCACTCTGTCGCCCAGACTGGAGTGCAGTGGCCGCTCCCGGCCACCACAGCCTCGACCTGCTGGGCTCCGGTGATCCTCCCGCCTCAGCCTTCCGAGTAGCCGGAATTACAGGTGCGCGCTGCCATGCCCGGCTAATTTTTTATTTATTGTAGAGATGTGGTCTCACCTGCCCAGGCGGGTCTCGAACCCGCGGGCTCAGGCAATCCACTCACCTCAGCCTCCCAAAGGCGCGGGATTACAGGCTGAGCCACCGAGACCGGATGCATTCCTTATTTTATAGAGTAGTATAACCAAATAAAACAACCCCAAGTCAAGCAACTAAATATTTTGAATAAAAAATTGTAAAAAGTAAGCAAATAACTCAAGACAGAGAAGCAAAAGTATAATTTTTAAAAAATCAATATGTTGAAAATGTCTTCAGCAGCTACTCATAAGTTTTAGATTTTTGGATAGGAGGCTATACAGTAGTCTTCTCTTTACTGCAGTTTTTCTTTCTGTGGTTTCAGTTACCTGAGGTGCAAAAATATGAAATGGAAAATTCCAGAAATAAACAATACATAAGTTTTAAATTGCATGCTCTCTTGACGATCATTCCGTTCTGCCCGGGACATGAATCATTCCTTTGTCCAGCATATCCACACTGTCTTCACCAGATACCTTTGAGTCACTCAGTAGCTGTCTCGGTTATCAGATCAATCGTCATGGTATTTCAGTGTATGCTCAAGGCACTCTTCTTATTCAACATTTAATACAGTATATTATTCTAACTGTTCAGTTTATGTATTAGTTATTAGGGTTAGGGTTTGGGTTAATCTTTTACTATGTCTAACTATAAATTAAATGTTATTATAAGTATATATGTAATTGAAAAAAAACATAGTGTATGTAGGGTTCAGTATTATTTCCAGTTTTAGGCATCCACTGGGGGGGGGGTCTTGAAATAAATTCCCCACAGATAAAGGGGTCATTCAAGCAATCACATAATTGTTTTCCCTTTTTTTACTTTTTAAGTACACTCACAAGAGTGAGTCAAGTTTGAAGAATAGCAAAAAGCTTTAAATCATTTTTTAATTAAACATAGTTTTTATTTTACAATTGTGGGGTACAGTTAAGGTTTAGGTAAACAAATATGCATCGTTCAGGCACCCTTGTTGATAAGGAGTGTCCCCCCGTCCCCAGACAGATATTGACTACCATTAATCCACCCTTGCCCTCCCTGTCCCCCCCAATAGATTCCCACCACTGTCGATCCTTTTCTTGTAGTATTATGATAGATGTTCAAGGTCCACTTATGAGTGAGAACATGAATGGAACTAGAGCCTAAATCTTTTTTTAGAAAAGCATTCTACATATGCTATGCTTAGAAAAGGCAAACCTCTTGAAAAAATAACGCTTTAGCATACTTTTTAGTTTGTATACATACACTCAGAAATATATACAGGCATATATAATACATACGCATGTGTATATGTGTATATATTCATTATACGTGTATATATACATATATAATCACTAGGAACTATTGATACCTGCTTACGTATGGCACTTTTAAATACATGACATTTGCTTTTAAATATATGACATATTCTCTCTTCATTAGTGTCACCTTTAACTGAAGCTATAAAAAAAAATCACAGGAGAAAAACAGAGAAAAAGAAGTTTCCATTTGTTTAGGGCATCACCTTTAACATTTTTGTTTCCCACTATCATAAAAAATTTAAAACTGCATCACTTGTAGTGATGTTTTATGCTGTTGAGACATGATGCCAGACACGCCATGACATGGGCATGGACTCCTTATCTAGCGAATGAACTCGGCACTCTCATCCCAGCTCATTCTGGTGTTCTCTCCACTGTCATGGAAAGTGGCTGCTATGATAGGGAAGCAGGATGTTCACCCATTATTGCTTTGGCAATTTCATCCAACTGCCAGCAATGGCAAAAATAAAATAAGACTTATAAAGAGAAGATGCAAAAAGTTGTGATTCTTGCTCAGGAAATTTGTGTTTTGATAAAGGGTGGACTGGTAAACATGGTCCACGGAAATAGACTGATGATGTGAAAGGATAATCTGTTTCATATAAAATATGGACATGTGGTTGGGTGAGATTGTTTAAACAAATATTTCAGCCAGTGGTGATAGTAACTCCTGCTATATTGGTATTCTCAATTTGAAATTCACAAATATCAAGACTGTATCCTGTGTGGAGGCAATAAGGGAGGTAACAGAGAATCAACATGTTAATATAGCAGACTAATTTCCAAGCCTCAGTCATCAGACACAAGTCATCCTGAGGCAAGTTCTTCAGGACCTGGCAAGGGGTATAAAGAGCCAGTATAGAGATGTAAAAATGCTTCTTAGGTGAGGTTAAATTGAGCTGTCTCCAATCAAAGCAGTGATTTGCTTTAATCTCCTTTAATCTGTTTTATGCACTGTGTTTCTACGAAAGATTTACTTTAAGTAAAAATTTACAGATTTAAGCAGATGTATAAAATACCAGTTTAGAAGGAACAAATGCAGCACTTGATAATGAGAAACTTGGATCCAAGTCCTCCCTTGGCTACTAATTACTTGTGTGGCCTTGATTAAGTCACTTGGCACTTCTGAGACTAAGTTTTCTTATATGCTATGTAGAGAGATTTAGTCATTGAATATCTAACATTCAACAACCCTCTATTATCAGTATAATTTTATTTGAAATAAAATAAAACAAAATAAGGAAATACTGTTCACTTTTTGTGGTTTCTAGTCTAGTAAGGTAGTGATTAATAAATTAATAAAGGACAGGAACCATGATACATATGCATCTATCTACAGCCCAGGAAGGAGAGCTACATAAACTTTGAATGTCTAAAATGAGGGAATCAATTTAGTGAGGAAGTCATGCAAAGCTTTCCTGATATTTGAAAAATTAATGGTTCCCAACTAGGTAAAGAACTTTCCCAGGTGAAGACAACATATGTAGATGTCCTGCACTGGGAGGAAGCACAGTGGATAGAAATGTGTCTGGAGCAGGAAGTCTGAGTGAGAACATGGTGCTGGATGGCCTGAAATGACAGGTAGAGGTCAGATCACAAAGAACTTTCAGGAACATATGAACTATTCTACTCTTAGCACAATGTGAAGTTACTGAAGGTTTGTAAATGTGTACGCATGTACACGTGCACACATGATAGAATCGGGTCCGCATGTGAAAGGCGCAGCCTACCACCAGACAGAATTTCTCCACCTCAGTACTGTTGATATTTTGGGCCAGATAATTCTTTGTTGCAGTGGCCTGTTCAGTCCACTGTAGGATGTTTGACAGCCTTCCTAGTCTCTACTCACTTGCATCTCAGAAGCATCTATCCCGAACTCCCAAATCATAACAATCAAAAGTATGTTCATACATTGCAAAACCTCCTCTGGAGAGCAATGTCAGCCCTGGTAGAGAACCACTAATCTAGAGTAGGCTAGATTAGAAGAAGGTCAAAATACACAGGGAAAGATCAGTTAGGATATTTATTATAGCACAGGCAAGTAACTTGAGACAAATGGATTTAGTTTAGTTTTCTTTTAAAGGGAGAGACTTGCATGTGTTGAAAAGCCAACTGTGAAGGATTTAGTAAGATGAAGGGATTGATGGAACAGAAAAGAGAAGAAATGATCAGTGATGCATGGAACCTAAGCATGAATAGAAATATAATCCAGAGGCAGGAAAACAGAAAGCATTCCTACTGACACTGAGGAGAAGGAGGGTAAAATTAATGTAGATATAGATGATTTGTATGCTTGGTAGCTTGAAAATAAAAACCCAGTTAGAAGGTAACTATTTTCTCTGTTAAGATTTAAAGTCTAATGAAAGTAGGAGGAGTGTTTGAAGAGAATAAAGGACGTTTAATTTCATTGCTGTGGGGAATAGGGGAAGTGAGATGACTAGATAGAGATGACCATGGCTGTGTAGCACTGGGGTCCCATTTGAGGTTGGTAATACTAACTCTGCAGGGCTAACAAGTAGACCCTGCACCTGAAAATTTTCCTCAGTTCTAGTTCAGGCAATAGTGAGTGGATAGCTGATTTCAGTCAGGGAGAGCATTTGTGAGGAAAAAATAAAATTAAAATATGTATTGCTAAGGTGGGCTAAGTAAGGAAAGTGAGGGAACAGGTACAAGAGAATTTAGGTGGCCACTAAGAGAGCTAAGAGAGTGATTAGAATGGTATGCCATAGAATGTAATATGGATTAAAAGGAAAAAAGAAAAAAAAAAAAAGAAAGAAAAGGAAGGGTGAATTAAAAGCCAGAAAATAACAGATTGGAGATCTTGATGAGCTTAAATCACTCTCATAGTGTGAGTACTTGGGAAAGCAAATTGGAAAGAGGTAACCAAA